TTTTTTTTTGGGCGGGGGGGGGGGTGTACTTTTCACAAATATAGAGGTCTATAATTAGTATTAATTTATTTTGAATATCTGTCAAATGCTTAGGTAAAAAGTTTGCTGACATACTACTATTCCATTAAATTGAAAAGTCCATACATGACACAATATTAATGTGAAAATCCATAAATTAAGTTCCATAGCTAAAAAAAAAGTATTTTTTGAATCATAAACATTAAAATATACCTTTTTAATTTTGAGCTGATCATTGTCGCTTACTGTCTAAATTCTCGATGCAAAAGGTTGATGTTGTAATCAATTTGGGTGGTAAAGCATAAATTGTCCTTTTAGGTCATTATCAGTTTATTAACACCTTTCCTGTGAATATGGCAACTATTTGTTTTTTAAACTGAGAACTTATCCCAACAAGTAACTGCTTATGTTTTCAAGTGCTTATAAGCTATTTTTCTTAAGCAATCCCAAGCAGACTCTTTGTTTAGCTATTTTTTGTTTAGCTAGTTTTCTTGTTTCTTGTATATATTTTCTTTTCATTTCGACTTTGAGTAACTTAGATACTTAAATATTATTATTATTATTTATTTTTTGGTCAGACCTTGAGGACTTAGCTGCACAAATGACAGAAATGTTCTGCAAGAAACTTCCATTGTCCAAGGATCTGGATGTACAAGAAAATATGTACGGTGAAGACCTTCTGTCAATGGCATGCAATATATTGGTTCAGGTATTATATTTTGTTCTACAAAATCGTATCTTTTTTTTTTTTTTTTTTTTTTTTTTTTTTTTATGTGTCTATTTTAGAGCCGTATATCTTGATTAAACTTGTTTACTTTTGCATGTTACGGGAGATTTTACCTTAAAACTGTCTGAATCATCTTTGACGTGAAACTTCTTTTTATTTCTGATTCCAAGAATATATAGTCGGTTCAATAGAAACTTCATATACTAAATCTGGATCCTTTTGTAGAGAGTCCTTGATGTTCTCTATCCTAGACTTAACACATAAAAGTGAAGCAAATGATCAGACATCTGGTTTATTATCCACCTTACTGCGCTACTGGAGATATAGTATTTTGTACAGGGATCTATTAAAACTTGAAAGAAACAACATAAGACGTGAGGTGATAAATTTTCTCAAGAATATGTGACAAAAGTAAAAAAGTCAACTTCCTCTACATATTTTGGTTTCAGCAGGAATGTTGATAGCTAGAGCATATTCTCATCCTTTTGTTTTGAAAATCTGGAGACTCACTGCATTTCTTTTGGAAAAATCCATGGTTATTTTGGTGCATCTATGATCTATTACGACACGTTTACCAATTTCTATGATTTGTGACTTGACATTCAATTTGTAAAGGAAAGTCTTATTTTTATTTATTTATTTATTTCCTGATATCTTATTCTTTTTCGAGTGAATTTGAATTTTTTCTGTAGATTTTGTCTTTGGGTTTCCATTTTGCATTTTTTTTTCTTAGAATTAGACTTTAGCACAGAAAATTGGAAGTTCTACTATTGTTTTCAAGTAATCGTCTTTTTGCATTTTGGCAAAGCTTTTTTGGCGTACAAGGGATCTTGGCTATTTGCTGGAAACAATTATGATTCTGGAGTTTGGTTTGACAGTCCGAAGGTTAGATATTTGATTTTATCATTGCTTAATGACACTATATCAGCACCGTTCTTCTACGATTTATTTTTTTACAAAGCATGAAATGTGCATCTCTCCTAGTAGTTGTGTAATAACTGTTCCAAAATGCAAATATATTCTCTTGTAGAGTCCCTTATTTGTGCTTCTTTTACGTGTTACTTTAAGGTTAGCTTCTCCAAATGATTTTGTCTTTTATTATTTATTTCTTCGTTACTTTGGGATGATATTCTTTCTTTTCCCATAGCTTCGTTTTCATTTCTATGTATTTGTTTGGACATTTTGAAACTGAGCCATAATTGCATTGCTTCAAAAATTTTCCTTTTTGAGCTTGTCATCTTGATACTCTTTGAAGCTTGTGAACTACTGATTTTGTGGCATTTGCTTGTAGTTTTTTCCCCATGCAATCTAATTCTACTGAAGTTTGCACGCTTTTCTTATTTGTTTCCTGGCGTTGATATGCTTATCCTGTTTGTGACATTTTGTTTATTTTGACATGTTATTAGACTATCTGTTGTACAAAATTGTAATGAATGTTCACATGACATGACTTTAAAAGCTTAAATTTGAGAATACTCCATTTGATTTGATACCCATAATTACTTGGTAACATGAATTTTGATGCTTATCTTTCACAGACTTGTCTGGCAGTACAAGATTTTTTTGGTGCACCTGTATTCTTATTGGAGCTCGCTTCCATTGGCATATGAGTGGTAAACAATATTGTTATAGCATTAATTGAATTTCTTGGTTCTTGGAAACCTTAGTTTCTGTTCTACTAATATTTATCATCTGTGCTTGAGGTTCCCTTTTCTGAAGCATGTATTAAGTTACAAGTTTTCTTTCTCAGCATAGTGACAACTCTTCTTCTGTATAGGTATAAATCCTTGGATGTGAAGAATATTTTGCTGGAGACCATATCGCACCACATTTTACCACAAATGTTAGAATCTCCTCTATGGGCAGATGTAAACGATCTATTGAGTGACTATCTAAAATTCATGGATGATCATTTTCGAGAATCTGCAGATCTTACGTTCCTTGCATATCGCCATAGGAACTACTCAAAAGTATGTAAGAAACCTGCTATATTCACTTATAATTTCAAGCAGACAACATTTTTCCTTTAGATAATGTTGGTAAAAAGGCTAACGAGGAACCTTCATAGAGTGTTTGATTCTGCAAATGCAGTGTTTCCTGGCTGTTGTTTGAGATCTATAATGAGAAAAGTTGTTAGATGATTTTTTTTGATTTAGGAAAAATGTAAATAGTGCACAAAAAAGGGTTATAGTTGGTGCTAGAGAGGGAAAAAAATAGAAAGATTTAGTAGACATAACTATTAAAGAAAGATCAATCACGAGTTCGAGATCTAATAGGGTAGAAGTTGATAATTTTCTCTTGCTGTTGACTTGCATAGTCCTTACTGTTTTATGGTTGAGCTAATGAGACACATCCAAGGTGAGGTTCTCTATGTATTTTATTTTATTAGTGGAGTATTTTTAGTTGATTATACTAGGAGGGTGATAATTGATTGGATTATTGGTTGTTTGTTTACGAGCATCTGCTGTCAGAATGGATAATCATATTGTCCCGAAGGGTGATAATTAGGTTTTGAGGTTCGATTATTAATGAGGGAGGATTTGAAGATGATGTAATAAGTGGCGCGGAGGAAAGGGAGAAGTTTACAAGGAACTATATGGATTGGATGATGCATACCAAGCAAGACTGTGGAACAATTATTAGAATCGCTACACTTCATAGAACTAAGTAGGAATGAAAATGCTAAGATGTTCTATATTAAAATGGACAATATAAGGAATTTGAATCCAACAACTGGATTTTCAAGGAAATATCTTTTAGAGCAGTAAGTGGTGGCACGTGATTTTTCGTCTTTTTTTTTCCCCCCCCTAAGAGTTTCTAATGACCTGTAATAAGTTGTTTTGGAATGTAAGTTCTAATTTAATTAGAAACATAACAAATGAAAGAATAACTGGCAAAGAACCATATTAAGTGCTTGGTTGGTACTGATTTTAAGTGCTTATATCTTGTGAGTCTTACAGAATGTGTGGATAAATGTTTGCCAAACATGCTCTAAGAAAGTTCTGTTGATGACTTCAGATTTCTATAAATGGTATGTATTGTTTAGAATTTTTTACATATGTTATGAGAGACTAACCAGCTAAGAAACCAAATTTGAATCCTGCATAACATTTTATTGTCTTTGAGTTTAAGCCACTTTTTTCAGAAGTACTATCTGAAAATTTGAATCTGCTTTCCTTTTATTACTTTCTTAGGTAGTTGAATTCGTTAAATTTAAGGAACGGCTGCAACGTTCGAATCAGTATTTAATAGCAAAGATTGAAGCACCCATTTTACGGCTGAAGCAGAATGCTGATAACATTGAAGCAGGAGAAGTAACTTTATTTTTCTTTTGATGTTTTTTCTTGGGTTTTTTCCTTTTATTATTTAGCTGCTGTTGTCAAAAACAAAATTTGCTTCTCAGTGCATCCTTGAAACCTTAAAATGCGGGACTCAGTTTCTTGAGCTTTCAAATGAAATTAGAAGCAAATCTTTGACCTTCAATGAGGATTTGCAGTTTCGGCCTTGGTGGACACCAACTTATGATAAAAATTATCTCTTAGGTTAGTAATATTATTCTTCCTTGCAATTATGTAATGATAAAAGATTTACTGTAAATACTGGTTGAATTCTGAAGTTCTTATAAAGTAATGCTACATGCTTAAAGTATCATTGTATTTTAGCAAGTTCAATTGCAAAATCCTCCCTTCCACTATCTGATGAATAATGTACTACTGGTGCAAACAAGTCTCAGTGAATGATTTCCACAGCTAATGACAGTTTTCATTTGTTTCCAGGACCCTTCGAAGGAGTGACCTATTGTCCAAGAGAAAATATGGTGCGAAATTTGGGCCATCTATTTAGTATTTCAGTGTCATGTTTTAATGAATCCAATTTTTATTTTCATGTAAACATGTCTTGAATGGTGAATTTTATCCATTTTGGAAAAAGGGGAAGTTGCAGATTTTTATCTATGCATTACTTAAACATTCTCCTGAAATATATTTGACATTGAGTTTTCAGAAGATCTTTGTGCTTTCTATGTTTTTTTTACCCTTCAAATACTTTCATCTGTGTTGATATATTTTTTGCGGTGTTTAGTGTCCACTGCTGCAAGAACTTTGTAACTTGATAAAAATTTAATTCACTCTTTTTGCTGCATTACCAGATTAAACAAATGGAAGCCAATGTATTAAAAACTGTTGAAAAGAGATCTCTTCTTCCACGGATGATCTATTTGTCCATACACACTTCTTCATTGTCAGTTAAGAAAAGTGTTGAAGCCAACGGGTCCTCATTAGATCCGAAGTTCTCATTAGAGCTGAAAAGTTTACTTGAGCGTTATGCCAATATCTTGGAATTTCCCTTCCATGATGCAGTAGAACTTGTTTTGGGCGTTTCAAGTGGTCGGAAGCCCTTGGAGGTATGATCTTTTGATTTCACTGTTCTTTTTTGTTGCAATGCTTACCTCTACTTTTTCATTTTTTTCATCCTGCCATTGGCAATTGGCAGGTTGGGGAATGGGAATAGGTATCAACGTGTTTGGGTTTGATTATGGTGATTTTTTTGAAGACCGGTGATCTATTTTCTGACTTTTCGTTATTCGATAAAAGTACATGCATCAGTGGTGGTATTATTTGAGACTGAGACGACGAGTCATGAAGTTTTATGTAGGCCTTGGCATGTTACGTTGTCAAACTTTTCATACTACACTTTTTTCTCTCTCCTGTGAAATAGGCTTTGAAATATATGTATTCTTTTGTTCCAAAATCTAGAGACTTCAACGTGTGCCAGGTTTGCTAGATAAGAAAATTGAACATCCTTGTTGGCGAAGTTTCATTCTGCCTTCAGAATTTTTTTATTTTTTATTATTATTATTTTTAACAGTAATAGACGAGTTGCATTAATATGATACAAGAGTAAGGGGACAAATTATGATATTAGGAACCTTTGTTGTGCATGCCTTGCTTCATTTGCCAAGAGATTTTTATGCAAACTGTTGGCCATAGATTAGGACTGGCCTTTTCTTTTTCCACTTGCTTTTTGTATGTACCCTTCCAAAAATATACCCCTTGGGAATTGTAACTTGCTATATCTGGACATTTCCATCGACTCTTCTTTTTGAGATTTGAGTTCTATGTTACATGTGAGAATTATGAGTCATCTACAGTGGGTGTGTACGTGTTATATTGCTAGTCACAATTTTGACTTAACTAAGAAAAGCAGACTTGCTTTCATGTTAAAGAGTAAATAATGGTCGTTGTTGAGGTAGGCTGATGGCGAGGGTGCTACAGAGGTGCCAACATAGTTGGGATGTCATGGTGCACCTACTGATCCCTTTCATCAACTTCTTTGTATAAAATATAATAGCAATTTTGATTTGATTGGAAAATTCACTTTATGTTGGGAATTGCACATTGCTTGATGCGCCTTTTTAAGACAGGCTTCTGGTTAATGATTAAATTAAATTTATACTTGGGCAGGCATTAGGTCCGGCTATTGTTGACTGGATGAATTTTGCTGTGTTTTACAATGCTTGGAATCTAAATTCTCATGAGATACGGCTCTCAGATAAAGACGATTCTAGCTCTGGTACTTGGCACCTTGTTAACTTGCTGATGAGGAAGTATGTGCTAGAGAAGATTGAGTCGACAGGTTCTCTGATCTCTTCTCCTGGAAGTGATTTTCCCATATTGGTGCAATTGGTAACAGAACCCTTAGCTTGGTATAGCCTAATTATCCAGTCTTGCATCCGATCACTTCTTCCTTCGGGAAAGAAGAAAAAGAAAGGTGGACTTGCAGAACAGATAAACTCTAAGCTGTTTCACGAGTTACAAAATGCAATCCAATCTGTGTGCGATATAATACAAATGGTTGCAAAATGGTTAAGCGATCAAATTGATCAAGCGGATGATGAGAACTTTGAAGCCATATTCTCCTCGATTCATAGAGATGCAAGTACTGGAGGGCCTGGGAAGGTCTTCCAAATACTCTCATCTTCTATGTCCGTGATGGAAGATTCTGAGTTGGGTGAGAGGATTTCTCAAGCATTACAATCTTGGAGTCCTGCCGATGTCACAAGGAAGATCATTAATGGACAGACTACTCTAATTTCAGAGTTTCTGAAGATATGCAAATTGAAAGTTAAATCATTGCAAGCACTTAAACTTCAAATTTAGCTCGTAATTACACGGGGGCTATGTTGAGTGAGTCGAGGAGACTGCAGGATGATGGCAGTTTTTCGCATCTTTTTTGCGATGGTGCAATTTTGATAGCTTGTTATATTTTCCTTCTCAGGATTGGCTTCTAGTTATCAATGTACACTAATTTAACATGATTCTTTGAGAATAATTATTATTTTACCGCTGTTCTGTAATCGGTGTATCAACATAAATTTGTTATTTACTAATGAATTTATTGTTGTAAAAGTGCTTTCCCCCAAAAACATAGTGAAAGTGTGCGCAAAATTGTGGAGTATCAATTGCTAATTCTTGAAACAGTTCATTTTCATGACGATATTCATGTAAATGTAGAATAGGAACATCTCGACAGCTTATTATCTACTTATTTATGATGCTAACGGTGAGTTATATAGTATTGAACATCATTGAATTTGACAATTGACATGCTGTCTGGTCGAACATTGTTAAATTTGCGATGAATTAGTTTAGTTAATGTCTGCTTTTTGTCTTGAAAGGAAGTTCAATTTCAAATATTGATGCATTCACATATTATCAATCCATAGCAAGTTTTTGTTCTGAACATGTGTAAGTTGGGCAGGCAGCCTAACTCTTGTGTGAAATGTACCTCAAAATGATTTTGTGATATACTAAGATGTCTGAAGCAAACTAATCAAATATTACTTGTTTTTAATTATTTAATTTAATTTAATTTTTTTAAAAAAACAGATTAGTGCCTTGATTGAAGCTAACTAATCACTTCATATTCATCACCTACTGTGAATATGGAGTTGTGTAATATAAAGGCATTTTATTCCAACTTTAGTTGAATGCATTTACTAATAATTAATGCCCCAAATATGTTAATAAAAAATATTATAAAATATTGCAAGGTTTTTTTAGACTAACTTTAAGTTCCATCCACATAAGTTAAGCCCCGCTTGGTAGCAAATTTTCACCTTAAAAAATTGATTTTTTGATTGTTATTTCACTATTTCAGTTGTCATTTTTTACTTCTTCACTTATAGGTGGGATTCACTTCTCTCTAATGGCCAAAAAATCAATTCTCATAATCATTACCGAACAAGTCCTAAATGTCAATTTCGCATTATCAATCATTTGTTATTCTTATCATTATTACTCACAACGGTTTTCAATAAAGGAAGATCGTTAACAAAGTAGGTTGATAATCAACATAAAATGTTGTTTAGGTGCCTTGGCTAGTAGATTTCGATCGCGGTCTTCCATTAAATATGTTAAGATAAAATAGACTGAATATAATATCATTTGACTGATCCCAATTGCATTAAGAATTAAAACTCCAAAAAAGTGCCTTTGATTTCACTTTTGGCATTAAAATATTTGTTAACAGGTATGAAGGTGGAACCAACCATTTTAGATTCTCCGACTTCAGTTTTAGACCGCAAAATTTAGGTTAAGTCAACAAAATAGAAATCTGTTAGAATATTCTCCTAATCCACCTAAACTTGACCCAAATTTCAATTCTCAGTTTAATACCAGCTCCATTCATTTCTTTCTTACAAATAAAATTCTCCCATTTTATTACTGTCTGCTCTCCAATGCTGATATCACTTTCATATATGTTAAGTTGCAGGAACCAGATGCTGGCATCTGATTGATTCATGTTTTTATTGTTTGGTTAACAACTGATCTTTTTTAATATCAATTAAAAGGACTGTGTGTGGTTAATGTTTTGGTTGTTTGGCCAACTAATTCAAAGGACTATATGTCTGAAAATAGTATCTTTTCATAAAGGATTATGACATTCAATATCTGCAGGACATTTGCTAACTTATAGTTGCATGAGGGACATGGAAACCAGTAACTAAAAATATGCGACTGGTGGAACAATTTAGCAGAGGAGAGGTAGATCAAAACTAACGCGACGTGTTATATCTCCATACAGCTGATCTTAAGTTTACCGATCATCGTGGATTGGACAAGATAATTTGTCTCGTGTTGTTTTTTAATGATATCCAATGTATACAATCAGCTTATCCATTATGACTAACATATACTACATGTTTATCGAAGGTTCTTATCAGTAACAATAAAACAGTAACTAGTGCATATACGACATTATCTTATCAGGCAACATAATGTCTTTTACATTACACTATAGTGCTTCTGTTTTCCTAGAAATTATGATACTCCTACTGTGAGGAACTGCCATTGGTTATTGCTTGAAACTTAAAATTTGAAAAGAGGTGAACGAGTGGCGAAAAATGATTCAGGTAGCCGATTACAAATTGATTGAGAAGAAAGCTTAGTTTAATGTTGTTTTTCTGAAAGGACAAGAAAATAACGTATAAATTAATACAAAAGGTGTATTTCTTCCTCCTAATTAAGTAAACCTCATGTTTAAATATGCTATATAAGAACATCTAAATACAGTTGCAATGAAATTCGAGAATCAGGACATGGAGTTAATCCGCCCTTAAAATCAAAAAAGAAAGATTTTGATTAGTTTAGTATTGATAGAATTAGTGGATGAACCAAATCATATGTTGTCGATGTTCTAATATTCTCATACTTCTAATCTAACCTGTCCCTAAAAGTACGTGTCATGTGCGCTGGACAATATAACAGACAAGATTTTTAGCTTTTTCTTCTTTTGCAATACTGTCCACTTCACCTAACAAATCCTATTATTCTGACCCTCTCGGAATTTTTCTTAAATTAAAATATAGATTTTATTCCCCTCTTCAAATTTGTATAAATAGTATCCCATTTGCAGCTCAACCAAGCATTAAAACTTCGAAGTTTCACCAAACAAAAGAAGAAAAAGAAGCAGGATGGATGCTAAAAACTTTGCCTGCTTCATCAGACCATTGTTCCCGCTTCTTTTAGCAGTTCTCATAATCAGTTTTACGGCATCTTTAGCTGATGCAGAAACTCACTACCATAAATTTGATGTATGTATTTTGTACCATCTTCTTGTCTTATTCTTCTCTCTTAGATTCTTTAGAACTTATTCAGTTTGAACATATATTCTAATTGTCACAGGTTCAAGAAACACCAGTGAAGAGGCTGTGCAGAACCCACAACATAATCACAGTTAATGGGCAATTTCCAGGTCCAACTCTTGCAGTAAGAAATGGAGATACACTCGTCATCAAAGTCACAAATAGAGCTCGTTACAACGTCACTCTCCACTGGTAATAGAATATGTAAAATTCGTATGTAAGTGTAAACATGCAGATATTGGCATGTTTAGCATGTCGACTAGATATTAGACAATGTTAAAAGAGAAAAAGAACTTAAAATCTCGAGCATTATCCTATAGAGTGTTGTCAATTACATCGTATCAAACATGCCACTAGTGCTCTCGGGATGGTTTCTTTTGGGTTCTATTTTCACCAAGATACAAATGTTCTTATTGATAATATCTTTCTGTTGGAATGTAACCTAAGTTTTTAACTTTCACAAGGCACGGAATTCGTCAGATGCGAACACCATGGGCCGATGGTCCTGAGTATGTTACTCAATGTCCAATTAGACCAGGAGCCACTTATACTTACCGGTTTACAATCGAAAATCAGGAAGGTACATTGTGGTGGCATGCTCACAGCAGATGGCTCAGAGCCACAGTTTATGGAGCAATTATTATCTTTCCAAAATCTGGCTCCTCATATCCCTTTCCAAAACCCAATTTAGAAGTTCCTATTATTCTTGGTAATTAACCATTTTTGGTCTCTCCTACTTTCTAATTTAATTAGCTTATGTTTTGAGTTAAAAATTCTCATATAAATATTAATATATATTTTGAACACAGGTGAATGGTGGGACAGAAACATTAATGATGTCATGAGACAGGCACTTTTTACTGGAGCAGCACCAAATGTTTCAGATGCATACACTATTAATGGTCAGCCTGGTGACCTATACAGATGCTCCAGCAAAGGTTTAATACTCATCTAAAATATTAGAATTTCTTAATCAAGAAACAGTTCACCTGATGAAAATTGAATAAAAAACCGTGACTTCGAAAATCAACTAGCCAGAAATGAATGTCAGTACAAAAATAATAGCTGTTTTTATGTTCCAATGCAGCTACAAAGAAAATCTCAGTTAAATCTGGGGAGACAGTTCTTCTCAGAGTCATCAACGCTGCACTTAATCAACAGCTCTTTTTCTCCGTTGCCAATCACAAACTAATCGTAGTTGAAGCTGATGCTTCCTATCACAAACCTTTTACCACAAGGGTCATCATGCTTGGACCTGGACAGACAACTAATGTCCTACTCAAGGCTGACCAACCACCAGCACGCTATTATATGGCTGCACGTGCATATGCTACAGCACGGAATGCGCCATTTGACAACACAACGACCACTGCAATTCTTGAGTACAAAAATGCCCGAAGAAGATCATCCTCGAGACCTGTGCTACCTCGGCTGCCGGCCTTCAATGACACTGCCACCACAACTGCATTTACAAGCCAACTGAGGAGTATTCCTTCAAATGCCAAAGTCCCCACAAAGATTGACAAGAACTTGTTTTTTACGGTGGGATTAGGATTTGTCAATTGTGCCCCTGGACCTAGATGTCAAGGACCAAATAATACCCGCTTTGCTGCCAGCATGAACAATGTTTCATTTGTGCTTCCTAGAAGGACCTCCTTGTTACAAGCCTATTACCAAAATATTCCTGGAGTTTTTACCACAGATTTTCCTCGAGTCCCACCAGTGAAATTTGACTACACAGGCAATGTGAGCCGTGCATTGTGGCAACCACGTTTTGCGACTAAGCTATACAAATTAAAATATGGTTCAAATGTACAAATTGTGTTGCAAGATACAGCCATCGTCACAACAGAGGACCATCCTATTCATCTTCACGGGTACCATTTCTTCGTTGTGGGACAAGGATTTGGCAATTTCAATCGCCGGAGAGATACTTCTAAATTCAACCTTGTTGATCCGCCAGTTAGAAATACAATAGATGTGCCTGTTGGTGGATGGGCAGTCATACGCTTCGTGGCTGACAATCCAGGTGAATTGTAGATTATATTTTCTGCTGTATATTAGAAAATCCTCTGACATCTCATAGCTAAATTAGCATCCTAATTATAACCATATAAAACTTCATTTTGCAACAGGAGTTTGGCTGTTTCATTGCCATATAGATTCCCATCTCACTTGGGGTCTTGCTATGTCATTCCTGGTTGAAAATGGGAAAGGAAAATTACAATCCATTGAGCCTCCTCCTGCTGATCTGCCTACCTGCTAAGAATGATCATGAAAAAGGAAGCTAAATATTAAAATTTGTCTTCAGTTCAAAGGTTTTGTTTGCCAGTATTTGTTCTCGTGAGTGTTATGTCTCTTGTTCAGATAACCAATGATAGGTTATTGAGAATAAGTAATTGTTTGTTGTTATTTTTTCTTACTTGGTAGTTGTCTGTTTCGATTATACTTGGCTCAAGTAAGCACATTTGTGTATTCTTGAATTTGTTAAGAGTCAAATTCAAATTGTATTCGTTTCAATCATGCATTCTCAAGTGATAATGAACATTTTATTTTTATTTACTTCTGTTCTCTCAATTGCTCTAAGCTATCTGCAACACAAGCACATCTCTAGAGAAATGATGGAATTGTAGTGGTTAAGGGTTGGGAATCTACTTATACATGCACAGCGGAATTTAAAATAATTTTCGATTCCCACCAAGAATCGCCTTTGTGTTTAGATAGAAATTGTGATAAGATTTTACCTTTTCCAGATCTGCAAACTTCTTTCCATTCCAGCAATCTTGATTCGCCATCCACAGCTGTCCAATTGTCCAGACTCCAACGGTAATCCACACAGATAACAAAATTGCAGCTACCAGGGTTTTTTCTCTTGTGCCAGCAAGAATAATGAAAACCATATAGATCTCAAACCCTAGCTATGTATTTATATAAACCCAAACGGGCTCGGCCCGGTCTGATCCAATATTTAATTAATCCAATTAATTAAACCCGGTCCGTGAATTAATTAATCCAATTAATTAATTTATCCAACGATTGTTAAATTAACCAATTGGCAATTTGCAATCTTCCAATTCTCTTTTGTGTGCCACCCAGGAGGTTCCCGACCATGATGCCTAACGACGTGAAATATTATTTTGATCTAATCAAAATTGATAAATTAAAACACCCTTTTAATTTATCGTCAATTCACACTCGTCATCCCTGATTGACATCTAGTAATGTGTTAGGGCAATACATGTGACGAAAAATGTCACGTGGTATGACAAAACCAAATTCGTTCGTTTACCGTGAAACTATAATCCCTTCGTCAATATGATCTGATCAATTACGAGATATGGAATTGTGTCAATCTCGATCATCGATCATATCTTTCACTCCACAATTAAGTCAATATAAATCGAAAACTCCTTTTCGACTTATGAGTACACCTTGGCCAATGATTTCATCATCGGCTTAATTGAATGAAACGCAGATCATAATCTCCTACTATCTAAGAGTGACGAATCCTTTTTTGATCAATCACAACCTTCATACGATTCTTGACATACCCGAACGATGTCGTATTAGTGGCCCGTTTTCAGAGCAACATCCAACACCGCCAAAGTATGACTGTCTTCATATAAGGTACCATGACGACCTCAAGTCAAAGGACCAATTCCACTACCGAAGGTTAGAGATTAACCACCGACACTCAGATAGTTATCCATGTGGAATCTCTCGACGGGTCTCCAATGTTTTGTTCTATAACAAAACATCCACGTGTTCATTTAAGTGTCTCCACACTTTAACTTGTGAGATCAGCTACTTACTTCACAAGTAAGAAATGCCACACGTGATGGTCTATTCATAATAACGATATCCGTATCTCGTTATTACTTACGACCACGGATGATTTAAGATTCAATCATATGAAATTTGTATCTCACAATCACAACTCCTTGTGATTAACAAATTACAAAGATTTGAATCTACGGACTCTATTATTTATTTAATTGTCTATTAATTAAATAATAGATCTGCTATTTAATTGCATTAATTATATATAAAAGTATTTATATCCAAAGTTGATTGGATCTAGGGCATAATACTTACAGTTAAGTCCTCTAATGCTCAAGTCAACAGAACGAAGTGTATAATAAAATCAATCCATGGAACAAATTCTAGCTTCAAAGCATGCCTTCATTACTCTTCCCTCCACTTTTTAATATTATATTGGTTATAATAAAGCATATTCTAGTGATAAAACGAATCAAATGTCTCATTATTTACCTATTTATTGATGTTGGTTGCCACTTTTGTTGTCACAATTGTCGAGTCCTTAAGTATCAAGTATAAGGCTAAGCTATGTTTATTTTGTTGTCAAGCCCTATGTATTTTGTAATGATTATAGGAAGCAGTCCTTTACATTTTTCTGATGTATAACCTGCACCAGCATGTCTTTATGTAATGATGTAATGTGTGTCCTTAAGTAAGGATGTAGCAGGTAGTTGGTAGAAAGATGTGCTAGAACACCTTTTTTATATCTCTTGTAAATTAGTTTCTTACTGATGGTTGAATAAACCTATTCACTTCAGAAAATCATCATCCTTCTCCTCTTCATTTCGAATTCTGATTAACAGTGGTATCAGAGTATGAATGATCTTTGAAGGAGGGATCTGTGAGACCAAAAAAGAGAGAAAACAAGTAAGGAATCTACACTAAAAACCTTCACCATATTAGTCGAGACATAGGATCAAAATCCAATGGCTTCAACTGGATTCTCAGTACCTTTACCTTTTGCTTTCATAGGTGAGAATTACGAATTCTGGGCAGCAAAGATGAAGGCTTATTTAAAGGCTTATGATCTGTGGGAAATCACAGAATCAGGTATTGAACCACCAGCCTTAAGAGCAAATCCTACAATTGCTCAATTGAAGCAACATAGTGAGGAGGTTGCAAAAAAGTTTAAAGTCTTGTTCTGCATCCGGTCAGCTGTGACTGATGCAATATTTACCAGAATAATAACCTGTGAAACTGCAAAGGAGGCTTGGGACAGGTTGCAAGAGGAGTTCAGAGGCAATGCAAGAACAAGACAAATGCAAGTCTTGAACTTGAGAAGAAAATATGAGGGCCTGAAGATGAAGGATTCTGATTCTGTCAAAGATTATGCTGATAGGCTGATTAAGGTAGTGAACAAGATAAGGCTTTTGGGAGATGACTTACCTGATAGAAGGGTCGTTGAAAAGGTGCTGATTAGCTTACCAAAAAAGTTTGAAGCTAAAATCTCATCTCTTGAAGACTCTAGAGCTCTGTCATCCATCACCTTATCTGAGCTGGTTAATGCCTTGCAAGCCACTGAGCAAAGGAGGTTAATGAGGCAAGAAGATCAAGTAGAAGGTGCCTTGTTTGTTAAAGGAAAGCATAAGGCACAGACCAGCTTTAGGCCAAGGAAAAATCAGCAAGATAAGAGAAGATTCGAAGGCAGCAAGGGTGCTGATAAAAACTCTGCTTATCCTCCATGTCCACATTGTCAAAAGACTGGACATTCTTCAAATTGGTGCTGGTTCAAACCAGGGGCGCAATGCAAGTTATGTAAGGAGTTTGGACATGTTCAAAGGGTTTGTAGAAACAAGAAAGGGAAGCAGATTGAGCAGCAAGCTAAAATTGTTGAAAGTCAGCAACCAGATTAGCTGGAAGAGCTCTGTTTGCTGCTGCAAACTACAAAACGTCTAGCAATATTGGAGGTTGGTTACTGGATAGTGGATGCACCCATCACATGACTTCAGACCTCAGCATCTTTGTTGAATTGAATGACAACTACAGATCAAGAGTTAAAGTTGGCAATGGAGATCATGTAGAGGTGAAAGGAATTGGAGTAGTTTCTGTACAAACTCCAACAGGTACCAAGCTTATTTCTAATGTCCTTTATGTGCCTAATATAGATCAAAATCTAATTAGTGCAGGCCAGTTGATTGAGAAGAAATTCACACTGATTTTCGAAGGCAATGGCTGCACTATATTAGATCCAAGTAATAATGAACCGATGTCTGTGGAGTTGAAACAAAGAAGTTTTCCTTTAGAGTGGAAAAAGGTAATTTCACATGCTCACAAGCTCAGTATATGAGTCCACACTTTGGCATAGGAGGTTTGTGTCAAGGTATTCAATTTATCCTTTGACTCGATAATCCTCATTGTGAGGGTTCCTTTGTATATATAGGAATAATAAGGCAAATTACATGGCAACTCGATAATCCTCATTGTGAGGGTTCCTTTGTATATATGGGAATAATAAGGCAAATTACATGGCTGAATGTTAGCTATCACTGTACATGAATGGAAACTGAGCAATTTTCTACCAATTACAACTATTATACAAAGCCATACAAAGCATCTCTAATTCTAGCGTTAATTACTCTTTCTATCTAATTGACATCCCCCCTCAAATTGATGATGGGTGATCAAGAAGTATCAATTTACCCACAAGAAAGAGATGACGTTGTCGTGTCATGGCTTTGGTGAATATGTCGGCAATCTGTAGATCTGTAGAGATATGTGGAAGAGAAATAATATTTGCGTCAAAAGCCTCTCGAATTGAGTGACAATCTACTTCGATATGCTTTGTACTCTCATGATATATTGGATTTACAGCAATCTGAATAGCACTCGTGCTGTCCGCATGAAGGGGTGTAGGATCAGACTGAGGAAAGCCAAGTTCAGCTAAAAGTCCACGGAGCCACATAATCTCAGAACAGGCAGCGGACATGGCACGGTATTCGGATTCAGTTGAAGATTTAGACACACGTGTTTGCTTTTTACTCTTCCAGGAGATCAAAGAATTACCAAGAAACATACACCAACCCGTAACAAAACGACGAGTATCAGGGCAGCCGGCCCAATCTGCATCACTAAATGCAACAAGACGAATAGGAGACCCAGAAGGGAAAAACAATCCACGATGAGGAGTACCTTGGAGATACCGAATGATGCGACGAACTGCCACAAGATGAAGATGTCGTGGAGTTTGCATAAACTGACTGACTTGTTGGACTGCGAATGATATCTCAGGCCTAGTGATGGTCAAGTAGTTGAGGCTCCCAACTAATTGACGAAAGATAGTCGGATCAGGAAGGAGCTCACCCTCTTCACGACGATATTTAACATTGACTTCCAGAGGAGTATCGACAGAAGAAGAATCTTGAAGACCAGCCAAAGTGATCAAGTCTTGAATATATTTGTGTTGGTTCAAAAATATACCTGTGGAATCAGTGTGTACTTCCAAGCCCAAAAAATATGTTAGAGGACCAAGATCCTTCATGTGAAAGGAAGCCTCTAGGTGCTGCTGGAGTTGAGTTATCAAACCAGAATTTGTGCCAGTGATAACAATATCATCCACATACACAAGTAAAAGAACAATATCTGTAGATGTCTTACAAAGAAATAGGGAGGAGTCATACTGACTCTGGATAAAGAAAGTTGTAACAAAGTAGATCGAAACTTCTCAAACCATGCTCGAGGAGCCTGTTTTAACCCATAAAGAGACTTCTTCAGCTTACATACTTGTGAAGAAGAGGAAAAAAGGCCCGGAGGAGGTGTCATGTAAATATCTTCCTTGAGATCACCATGAAGAAAAGCATTTTTGACATCTATTGGGTGAAGAGGCCACCCCTGAGAGGCTGCAATAGAAAGAACAGTGTGCACTGTAGTCATCTTTGCCACTGGAGCGAATGTCTCATCATAATCTACCCCATATTCCTGGTTATTTCCGAGAGCAACTAGGTGACCTTTATAACGATCCAGAGTTCCATCAGAACGAAGCTTAATAGAATATACCCACTTACAACCAATAGCCTTGACATTGGGTGGATAAGCAACAACATCCCAAGTATGATTATCCTGAAGTGCTTGAAGTTCTTCATCCATAGCCTTCCGCCACCATTCATGTTTAGCTGCTTCTGAATAACTATGAGGTATAGATGTCAGTGTAGTGGCAAATGAATGAAAAGAACCATATCTATCAAGCGGGCGAGAAGATCGTCGAGGACCCGGATCAGGAGGTACATCAGTATCTGATGCCAACTCAGGCTCAGAAGAGTGGGGTTGGACAAGATCATATGTGAGGTCAACTTCAGGAAGAGGCCTATTTGGTCGACGTCTCTCATACACGAGTCCAAGCTTGAATCTTTCAGGATGAGAAGTGAAATCACCAAAGCATGGGAGAATACTAATTTCAGGTAAATGTTGAGCATGAGTATGAAAGAAAGATTGTTGCTCAAAGAAAACAACATTACGAGAAATGCGAAATCTGTTAGAACATGGATCATAGCAAACATAACCTTTGTGCGAAACACTGTAGCCCATAAAAGCACACTTAACAGATTGTGCAGAAAGCTTGTGTCGTTCATGAGAAGGTAAATGAACAAAACAAATGCACCCAAAAGTATGCAAGTCATGATAAGTAGGATGTTGATTATGAAGGCGATAATATGGAGAGTCAAGCGTAAAGTTTGGGAAGGCAATCTATTGATTAAATAAACTGCAATGGACACTGCTTCAACCCAGAATTTTGAAGGAACATGGGAATCAAGTAATAATGTACGAACAACATCCAGTACATGACGATTTTCTCGTTCTGCCACTCCATTTTGTTGAGGGGTATAAGGGCATGATCGTTGAGACAAAATCCCTTTTTGTTTTAAGAAATCATGAAACTCATGGGACATATGTTCTCCACCTGAATCAGATCGTAAAATTTTAATACTGGCAGAGAATTGGGTCTCAACATATGTCACAAAGGTCTGAAAAACTGAAAGTACTTCAGATTTAAAACGGAGAAAATAGATCCATGTGTATCGGCTATAATCATCAATAAAAGTCACGAAATATTTATACTGGGCATGAGAGGTGATAGGTGAAACGCCCCAAACATCACTATACACAATATCAAAACTCTTTTTGGCACGACTACTGTGAGAAGGAAAAGGAAGAGTCTTACTCTTTCCCAATTTGCATGTAGAACAATCAAAGCACAAATTATGAGAAGAATTATTTTTATTATCCAACAAACCAGAGTTTAACAAATGAGACAGGATAGTGGAGTTTGGATGTCCCAAATGTTTGTGCCAAACTTCACTTTTATTGTTAACAGTTATACAAGCCAAAGATAAACAACTAGGAATAGAAAAATGTAATGGAAACAATCGTCCAATTTTAGGCCCCTTCGCTAGTATCTTCCCCGACACCTGATCCTGCACAAGAACACCATCACGAGAAAAATGGACATCATAATTGTTATCAACTAATTGACCAACTGAAATCAGATTTGTAGATAAACCAAGAGATATAAAAATTTCTCGAAAAGCAGAATTAATGTTACCAACAGCATTAATAGCTAAATGACTCCCATTAGCTGTTTGAATATGAGATGAGCCTTGATATGGGCGAATATCATAAAGACCATCAGAGGAACTGGTCATATGATTTGAGGCACCGGAATCAACTAGCCAAGATTGAGATGAAGTATTATGTTTACCTTGAAATCCCAAGGCAGCAAAAGTTGACGCAATCATTTGTTGCACCATTTCAGGAGTAAGAGCAGATTGGGCAGCAGTAGATGATGTCTTAGAAGTCGATGGCCTGGTAGTAGCCTGATATGCATTAGCTTGACGATTTTGAGGTCGAGTATGACAGTCTTTGATAATGTGTCCCGACTTCTTGCAATATTTGTAGTAATTTTTGGTACAATGAGTAACAATATGCCCATAGTCCTTGCAACTGAAGCATTGAATCTTTCTCATGTCTCTCCATTTGTTTTTGCCATGAGCTACATAAGCGATAGCATCTGAGGTCATATGTTGATGTTGAATAGTGGCCTGTGTTGTAAGACGCTGCTCTTCACGAAGTAACTCCCCAAAACAAACATCCAAAGAAGTGGACGGATCACGATTCAGTAGATTTGAGCGAATTGCCTCATATTCTGGACGTAACTTCATTAGAAACTGGTCTCGCTTGCTTTGCTCGTGTACAGTTTGAACGGCAACAAGAGATCCAACTGGTACTTTAGCATAGATAATATCAGCAAATTCACCCCATAAGCTTTGAAACCCAGAGAAGTAATCCTGGATGTTGAGATTGGCCTGAGTGTAATTTGCAATTTCATACTCCAATTGAAATCGTCTAGCTGTATTGTCTTGATTGTAGACCTTTTTTAAATACTCCCACATCTCTTTAGCAGTCTTATAAAGTCTTAGATTTAGTACAATCATAGGATCAACAGATCCTAAAATCCATGTCATAACCCTAGCATCTTTCACTTTCCATTGGCCCAATTGAATATTCTCAGTAGGAGCTGGGTCACTTCCATCTATGTGACCCCATAATTCTTTTCCCATAACGAATAACCGAAATTGAAATTCCCATGTAGAATATTTTTTACCCGTGAATCGCAACCGAAAGTTTCAGACATGTTGGTTGACATGATGTACGTAGTTAAAAAAAAAAAAAGGACCCAATATAAATTCAGCAAAACCAAAGTCCAGCAGAAAGCCCAATATAAACTGAGCCCAAGTAAACTTTAAGACCCCAATTAAACAATGGATAAACCGAGCCCAAGTAAACTTTAACACCCCAATTAAATAATGGATTAATTAGTCCAACACACAGAGGTTAATATCAAACCTCTAATCATACTCAT